TAGAAGACACAACATTGTTTTACATGTGTTTTTGAACTTTCTCTAAAAGATTCACTCTATTTGGTGTTAGAAAACCAAAAATGTCAAAGATAACTCGTATAAAAACGCGTTGATTATTGAAACACGTTTTTTCATGTTTGATCATTTTATTTGAAGTGACTTTGTGGGTTGCTTAACCCAAGTAAAATCTCTAGTTCCCAGTCCTACCAGTGGGGAAACTCCAGCCTAGTCTATATTGAAAAATTTCTAAAATATCCTAAATATATATTTAGGCTAAGTAACTAAAGAGGAACAAAATGATATAGTGGTAGAAACACTTGATGGAAATACTGATGGCTTGACCAATGCATATTTTCGTGTAATGTGTGTTTGTTAATAATATGTAATTAATTATTCGTCAATGGACATTTTGAATCAAATAAAACATTGTTTCTCTACACCAATTGATACAAGTTTCTTATAAATAGAGATACTTGTCAGCCACAAAAGATATACGAAAATAAATATTTTATGAGCAAAAAATTATATCTAAGTCATTTCTTTATTTTTCTAAAGCACGAGAATAAATGAGAAAATTTTATTTAATAAAATATCATTAATCGATATGCTTAATATGAATGTACAATTCATGTTAAGGTTTCCAAAGTATCCTGAAGGGGATTCGCCAGTTAATCCATTTGCATCCAATTTGTCTAAATTGGTGGGGGCGAATTGAATATAAAGCTTTGTGTAAACACATGCTTTGAAATTTATTTTGTGCAACTTTTATCGTACCATTTTCATCTTCTTGTTCATGTTTTGCAGTAGACCCCCAACACAAGATCTAACAATCTTTAAGTTTGATTTATGATTTTGTATAATTAATTTGTAGTTGTGACTTTGATGGAGAAATGAATTCATGTTTCTTATTCATAACCATAGTGAAAGATACATAATTCTATTTTATATATATATATATATATATATATATATATATATATATATATATATATATATATATATATATATATATATAAGCATTAAGAGATATTTTAATTATTAAAAAATGTGAGATGAATGCTGAGTTGCAAAATACTCGAAAAATATTAATTAGTGTAAGATGTTTTTCAAATGTAACATCATTTTTCATATTATTATTTTCAAGATTAATTTAATAGGTTATATGTTCAAGGAGTCTTTTGACATGTTCAGCGGAAAAAGATAAGAGTTGTATAAAGAATCACAAAAATATATTCTAAATCTCAATTTTAAACTCAATAATAACAACTGGAAAAAAACAACATATAACTTTTAAAACATTGATGGGTAGAATAACTAAACAACAACAACAACAACAATAATAACATCAACAACTCAAAAACAACAATAAACAACAACAACAACAACATTAACATTCAATCTCAATCTAAAAAGCAACAACATTAAACAACAATTAAAAAAATAATCTCTCATCAAAACTACATCAACATCAACAATAAACTTATACCGTACATATCTCATCAAAAAACAACGTCTGACATGCAATCTCAGTTTAAACAATAACATGATTAAACCTTTAGCATTTAGGGTCTCAACAACAACAATAAAAATAATGACAACAACAACAACAAGGACAACAAAAACGACAACAACGATGATAATAGCAACAACAACGACAACAAAAATGATAGCGACATCGACAACAAAAACAACAACAATAAAAACAACAACAACAATAACAACAACAAGAAAACAACAACAACAACTACAACGCATATATATATATATATATATATATATATATATATATATATATATATATATATATATATATATATATATATATATATATATATATATATATATATATATATATATATATATATATATATATATATATATATATATATATATATATATATATATATATATATATATATATATATATATATATATATATATATATATATATATATATATATATATATATATATAAATAAAACTCATGCTCAATTCTCTCTCAATTATAATTTTTGAATAGAAAATTTTAAACATTTTCTCAATTATAAATTTTAAAAAAAAAATTACAAATTCTCTCAACAAACTATTTTTAAACGAAAACAATAGGAAACCCTTTCAATTAACTATTTTGAATGGAAAAATAGAAAAACATTCTCTAAACACACCTACTCAATTTTTCGATACACTAAAAAAATTACATTTTATTGTGGTGGTAAAAGTCAACTAACTATCTCTATTTATATTAATACTCCAATTTTATTTTCTTCTTACTACCCAATGTGAGACTTGGATGAATATATTCTTTAACCCAACAAATTCTTCCTTCATCCAAAGTCTCATAGATCTTCACTTTATCACCAACTTCATCTTTAAATTGTTTAAGATCATTATAATGAGTAATCATAGTTGTAAAATTATTATTCTTCAATCTTTTTTATTTTTTTCCTCCCTTCATTCTTCCTCCATTGATTAGAATTTTTGTTACTATTTCTTTTTTGTTTGATCAAATTTTTTGTTACTTTTCCTTTCTCTTTTGATTGGAACCTTAACTCTAATATCAATTGTTGAAAAAATAATTAATAAACAAATATCGGAGCACGCGGAAGCACAACTACAGAAGAAGAAAAAGAAGCAAAAATTCAAAAAAAAACTCACAAATTCATTAATCAACTTCTCATTTTTACCTAACAAAATGACAAACTCTCACATTAAATTAAATTACAAACTCTTTCTCAATTACAATTTTTGGACAGAAAAATTATAAATCTTTTCTCAATTACAATTTTTGAACGAAAATTTGCAAACTCTTTCAACAAACTATTTCTAAACGGAAAAATAAAATACCTTCTCAAAAAGCTATTTTGAATGGAAAAATAGAAAAATATTCTTCAGATACACAATTACTCAAATCCCCACATCCAAAAAGTTACATTTTGTTGTGGCGTGTAAAACTCAAACTAACTATCTCTGTTTATATTAATATTTCAATTCTATTTTCTTCCTACTACTCAATGTGAGACATTGATGAATATACAATTTGAGCCAACAAATCTTTCCTTCATCCAAAGTCTCACATATCTTCACTTTGTTATAAATTTTATTTTTCAAAGCATTTAAGATCATTATAATGAGTAGATTTGTAAAATTATTACTTTTCAATCTTTTTGTATTCTTCCTCCCTTGATCATAATTTTTGTTACTCTTCCTTTTTTGCTTGAGTGGAATTTTTTGTTATTGCTTCCACCCTTGATCGGAACCTTAAATCTGATACTAGTTGTTGAAAAAATAACAAATAATGAAAGACCGGTGCATCCAGAAACAAATTCATAAAAGAAGAAAAATAAGTAAAAACTCGAAAGCAAAACTCACAAATTCATTAATGAACTTCTAATCTTTACAAAACAAAATTACAAACTCAAAATTGCAACTTTTAAGAAGAAAACTGCAAACCCTCGTAATTACAATTTTTGAATGAAAAAATTGTAAATTCTCTCTCAATTACAAATTTTTATTGAAAAAATTGTAAATCATCTGTCAATTACAATTTTTGGACGAAATAATTGCAAACTCTCTCAATAAATTATTTTTGAACGAAAAAATAGAAAAACTCTCTCTAGACAAATAACAACCCAAATTCCCAATACACCCAAAATATTATATTTTATTATTGTGTGTAAAATTTAAACTAACTATCTTTATTTATATTAATACTCCAATTCTATTTTCTTCCTATTATCCGATATGAGGCTGGAATGAATATACTATTTAACCTAACACGTTAGACACTTCGATCATATACTTTTAGAAGTTAATATGATAATTACTATTTATTATATATAATACATAGTATACAGAAATAAAAGGTAATCAGACAACAACAACCTGCGTCACTTCCTCTTTCTTTAAGATAAAATCAATTCTCTTAAAAACTATATTCATTATTCTAGGAGACACAACATTATTTTGCATGTGTTTTTGAACTCTCTCTAAAAGATTCATTCTCTCTGGTGTTAGAAAATCAAAAGTGTCAAAAGACAATTGGCATAAAAAACGCGTTGATTATTGGAACACGTTTTCTTATGTTTGATCATTTTATTTGAAGCGACTTTAAGAGTTGATTGATCCATAATAAAATCTCTAGTTCGCAATCCCACTAATGGAAAAACTCTAGCCAAATCTACACAAACATGTTTTTCTCCTACCTACTCGTACACCTGAACATTTGTTGTCCTAACTGTCAATCTCATTTCGTGTGATTTTGTAAAAGAATTCACAAGCACCTCTTTATTCATCTATACTTTGATTCATTAAAATATATAAAATAAGACATCACTAACAAAATCACGTAAATATTTAAAATATGAAAGTTCTCTAAAATAAATCATGTATTTCTTAAATATATTTGTAAATATATTTTAGAAATATATTTGAAACTATAGTATATAGTAAAAAGATATTTTAATCATCATTGTAACCACTCTAACTCACTAAAACTTAGAATGTGTTTGAGACTTAATTTTTGAAAGCTTGAGTTTACATTTTAATATATATTTTTATTTTTAAAAACATGATATAATATGATATGTATAATATTGTTGTTCCAAAATGGACCTAACTAGAATTAGTACTTTGACATACTCAAATTTACTTTCAATTTTTACATGTACAAACACACGTGCCATACTCCATGACCTAAAAAGGTTTTAATATGAAGAGGATTAGGGTCCAAGTTGGACCTATGAAATAAAATCACATTCCCTCTCCCTATACCTTAGACCCTATCCCCACCGAATTTAAGTCCTTATGGAAACATACATTTTTTCACAAAGCCAAATGCACTTACCATTTGTCCTTTTGCGCTTTAATTCTTTTGGCCTTTTGTGTCTTATTTTTCAACTCCTTGTCCCATAAAATATAGTTAACACAACAAGAATATAAAGAAAGTAAGCACCACAATATTCCTCACTTCCATCTCTTAAACTAAAACCATTTCAATACAAATGGAATATCCATGTAACCCTCTTAATTGGGAGTTCTATAACCATGATGAGGTTCACATCTTTCTTTCTTCTCTTAAAAATTTCTCATGGTTTTCACTTCACTAATTTTATTTAGTTTTGTTGTTTTCATTCATGAATTTTTGCAGGGATTATTAGAGGACTTGAAGCATTCACTTCTATACACAAGTTTGGAGCTAGAAGCAACTATTGCATCAGCCAAAGAAGAGATTACAAAGAAAGAATACGAACTCATTCATGCTAATGATCTTTTAACCAGAGTCATGAAAGAAAGAGATGAAGCCAGAGCAAAATGCCATAACCTAATGCTGGAAAAACAAGAGTTTCAAACCGAGAACAAATCACAAAGTGAAAATGCTTCTTCTTCGGATTGCGAAGAAAATAGTTCAACAACAGTACCGACACAGTTTCAAGCAGTGTTGGAATTAGCAGAGAAGAAAGCGTTGCCGAAGAAAGGAAAGCTTTTGAAGGCAGTGGTTGAAGCTGGACCATTGTTGCAGACACTTCTCCTGGCCGGACCGTTACCGCAGTGGCAACATCCACCTCCACAGATGAACTCAATTGAGATTCCACCGGTTTCGATTTCGTCTCCGAAGGATCTTTCTTTGAGCAAGAAAAGGGAGTTTGCGCTCTCTTCAGGTTCTGATTCTTCTGTTTCAAAGTGTAGAAAAGTTGTTCAGAACTTGCCAACAAATCATTTTCTACCAAATCCACCATTTTCATAAGAAAAATGCTAGTAATTTTTAATAATTTCTATTGTTGAAAATAGAGTAGTGAATGTTAACAGTAATTTTCTTTCTTTGTTGCATAAGAGAGAATCTATTGTTGGCATTTAGTGTTTCCCTAATTAAGATATATTTTGGTTAAATGAGGTTGAATTATTAGGGGGAAAATTGTTCTTTTTTTTACTCATGGGTAAAATTGTTAGGAATTGAAAAATGTGATTTTAAAGATGAGACACAAATTTGTACTGTGGTAGAAAGAGGATGGGGTGAATGGGCTTTAAATGGCATAGTTTTTATTATTTTCCAAAAGTTGTTGCTTTCACATGAAGTACACTTTATTTAAGGGTTACTATGTCTGCCATTGAAGAGTAGATCATAAAGACAATTTATACTCTTTTAAAATGAGTAGAGAACATAGTATAAAATGATCACATTCAAAATTTAGAATGAACTTTTCTAATAATTATATTATCGTATAGTGAACATATATTCCAAGAAAAATAGAGAAAGAATTCCCAATGGCCTTGTCAAATCTTGACATGAAAACGAGTATAGTCACTATCAAATCGACTTCATTCCACATGGAGAGGCCACTAATTGCAATTAGTCAATGAAAATCCCACGAAATAATAAGAGGTTTGTGGAATAATCATCGAGTGCACATGCAAATTCAAGTGGCCCTATCACATTTTCTTAATATAAGTAGCTCCTTTACTTTTCTAACCAACTAGCTTAATTATGTAAGGTCCAAGTTATCATATATATACTCATAAAGAATTTAAAATTAAAGATAAATAAGAATTAGATAAACTATGATAAAAAAATTGTAAATAATAGAAAATAAATGAAAAGAAAACATAAGTAAGAAATAAAAATAAACAGGATAAAAATGGGATGATATAATAAATTAAAATTAATAAATATCAATAAAATTAGGAGAATTTATTTGAAAAAAATAAAAAATCAAGAAATTATAATAAAAATTAATTAAAAAATAATATAATAGCATTTATCTTTTAATTTTCAATCTTCCAAACTCCAACTTCTTCAACCAAAATTTTACAAAAAAATTATATTTCGCAATACTTCAAATTTTGTACCTACGAGAACTATAATTGACAATTAGTAAATATCATTCATATTAATCTTCTAATCCTTCATCCTGCACAATCCAATTTCTTCAACAAATTATTTATCAATAAATATATTTTGTAATGCTTTAAATTTTCTACCTGCAAAAAAAATCAAGAGTTAGCAAATATTAATTAAATCTCCTATTGAATTTTTAAAATAGGAGTTTAGGGTTGTAATTTGGTGTAGTTGAATCGGTGTACTCCAAGTATACCTCTTTTAAATATAAATATATATTATTGTTTATAAAAAAAATTAAAAGTACTTCCAAATATAAAGAATTAACAAACAACCCTCCATCTTTCACAATTCAACCTTTTTAACAGTTTTTTTACCTAAACAATATATTTTGTAATGCACTTGAAAAAAAATCAGAAATTAACGAACATTAATAATTTTAAAAGAATTTTAAAATAAAACTCTTGTATAAAGAGATTTAATATGGAAAAATAAAAAAGAAAACAACTTGAAAAAAAATATAATCCTCCATCTTTCACAATAAGGAGTTTGGGTTGGTAGGGGAGGTCTACATTCCAGCTAGAAGAGACAAAAGAGGTAAAAGGTTCAGTTAGATTCTGGAAGGTAAATAATGTAAGGGTGTACTAAACTAGATAGTATCTTTATACTTTGTAAAAAAAATTCATGCTAATCTACCAAAGTTTAATCGAGGCGACGAAAAAGGTATACCTGCTCTGGAGAAATTAGGACCCGGGAGAAGCTATGTGAGTGAGAAAAATCAACATGTTAACTGGAATGGAAGAGTTAATAACAGATCATTTGCACAAGTAGTTGGGAATGATCAAGGTGATAATGGATCTACTCATGCCCAGGTGAAGAAGTTTTTTGAACCAAAACCTACTTTTGCTCACATTCAGTTCAATGTAGGAACTGAGGATTTGGTAGGGTTTAACAAAGCTTATGTTGGGGTGGTGAAGAAATCTGGTTCGACTTTTATTATTCAAGATGCACTGAATGCTGAGGGTTTATTCATAATCAAAGCCACGCCATTAGGAGCGAACTTATGCTTGTTAGAAGAATCACAGGTTAGGGCGGTGAACTCTCTGATTACGGAAGATGAAGAATGGATGCGTCTTTGGTTTCCTGTTGTTCATTCGTGGATGCCTAAAGATGTGGATAATGAAAGGCTTACATGGATGAAGTGTTATGGTCTTCCTTGCCATGCTTGGAATTCTCAATTCTTCAAGCTTATAGCTGGATGTGTGGGGGAATATGTGGAATGTGATGCGGATACTGAAAATAAGAGATACTTGGACGTGGCTAGATTCCTCATTAAAACGAAGCATTATTCGAATCTCAATGAAATATTTAATGTGGAAATTAATAACAATTTATACAGGTTAAAATTGGTGGAAGATTATCTTGGTCCAAAACGAATATATGTCACGAAAAAAGATGAGGTTGATAGTTCATTGGAAGACTCATACTCGGAAGATGAAGATTCAGATGGTGAGGAAGCTGTTTCAGAAACCTCGGATGAAGAAGATGACAAGGGTAGGGTAGAATCTAATTCTCGAATGAATAGGGATCACAATGAAGAGAATAGAGTCAGACCTAGCCTTTCAGATGGAGCGCCGGATAATAATGAACTTTTGATTGGAAACAAGAATGTTCAGAAAGGTGAGCACAACGTGGTACTGGAAGAGGTTACGTCTGATATTGGTAAAAAGAGGATGTTTGGATTACCTGTTGCGCAATGTAGTGAAGTGAACATGACGTTGACTAATCAAGTGACTCAGCATTCAAAAAGCCTTGTAGTCCCAACTGGTTTGGATAATTCCTCTAAGCCTGTGAATAATTTGGGCCTGGATATTGGGCCAAAGTTTAGTGGTTCTGTGAGTAAAATGAAAAAAGCTAAAATGTTGAAAGACATCTATGAGAATATCAGAATTCCCTTCTCACTTGCGTATTAATTTTCTCTTCTTCTATCGGCAAACAGAGAAAGCAATCTTGTGGAGAAGGTTATTCCTTCTGATAATGGTGTGTCACTGGAGGGGGCTACTCTGGAATCATCGACTTCTCGTTATTTTGGAGGTTTGGTTCTATGTTGTGACTCTTTAAGTGATGAGGATGGCATTCAAGGTAATGTGCGTATCCAAAAATCTTTAGAAGTTGTACTAGTCAAAGTGTGGAAGTTATTAAAAGAATTGGGGGTGAAATGTGAATAAGGCGATGAATTAATTGAAGGCTTGATTAGACAAACAGGCAGGGTGAGTAAAGTGATTCATAATAATCAATATAGGAATCAATATATAAAACAACGTCATTTTCATATTATGCGTCATCATATTCATCAATGGGCATCAAAGGCCACAATATCATAAATTACTCAAGATTGCCTCATAGGGTCATCAAGGAACATCAAAGGGCATAATATCATAATCACACCAAATTATCTCATAAATGCAAATGCAACAAGACTCATACATGTGGTACCAATCATCACAGCTCGATGGACACTGGGCCATCAACCCTCCATAGATCCCCATCAATAGGATCGATTCTATACAAGAATCGGAGCACATCAAAATACCCCATATTCGTACAATGGGACTGAAGCCAAAGAAATCAAGGTCTTGAACCGAAGTCCGGATGCACATAAATGCATGATGCACACATCAATATTCATCCTCATAATAACATCATATGTGCATCATCATTCATCAAAATCATCATCATAAATCATGTCATCATAGAATCATCAAAAACTCATGGAAATATCACCATAGCTTATCATCATTACTCATATGAATCGTCATTATACAATCATGTATTAATCTCATCGGAATCATAGTTATACTCATGGTAATTCATCATACAATCACATATTTAATCTCATAAAAATATTAGACAACCAATTATATTATTTATACTATATTATAGCCCTGTTCATTAGCTTTCCAATGCTTCGAATAGGGGCCAAAACAGACTTACGGATCAAAAGTTATGTCCAAAACAATTTCGACCGAAAACATGAACAGTCGTGACGGACAAGATGCAATTTTCTATGTTTTTCACCGTTGGAGGCCTTCCGGACCTCCGATTTTTTATTCTGTAAAAATACAAACTCTCATAAAATTACAACTCATTCAACGTTGTAATTATCTCAAGTAAATTACAATTTTAACATATTAAACCATCTAATCATTGTTTTAAGATTATGCCTAAAACCTTTAAAATTAAGGGATATAGGTTCAATCCCGTATCATATTTACGCCTCTAATTCCCATAATTTCTTACAAATATCTGTCATATCCTAAATTTTCCCGCTAACTTTTGTAAATATCTTCGCATTTTGTTTTGCATTTTTACTTAATTTCATGCCGTTTAGACACGTGTCCACCCCCCGATTGGGCGTTTTTCAAATCCCGATTATTTTGCCTAATAGAAGTGTGACACGTGGCCTAAGGCTATTTTCGTAGATTTCAATCCTTTTTAATTTATCTTTTTTTCCTTGTAAATATCAAATTTGTATATTATTTTTGTTTTAACATTTATTTAATTTAAATAGTTTGTTTTATTATATTTTATTTTTAGAATTAAATTAGTTATTTACTTTTCCTTTAAAATATATTTTATAGTTTTTAAATAGTTTTTTTAATAAGTTGTTTAGAGTTTTATTTATTAATTAGTTTTTTTATTTTCTCTTTTAATTATTTATTAATTATATTTTTATTCTTATTAATAGATTTTATTTATTTAACATTAATTAGATTATTAGTAATTAATTATCTTTTTTTATTTATTATTTTATTAGAATATTTAATTATTAATTAGATTATTATATTAGGATTTCAATTAGGTTTAGTCAATTTAATTCACCATCAGCATGTCATTAACCGTGATCTAAC